TTTGAACAAGGAAAAGTACTCACAACAAATCTTTTATAAATTCTAGCTTCTATTTTGACCAAGGAAAAGTACTCACAATAAAAATTAATCTTTTATTGATAAAATCTTTTATTTTGACCAAGGAAAAGTACTCACTACAGGGACAAGGTTCCCTGTCTTGTGTGTGTCCTCCACACTCCTGGTCCGGACATCTAGGGTCAGTGACACAGGACCGGCTCCGGGTACGGACAGTGTCTGACCCAACACAGCTTGACCACAAAGTCCACTCAAACCAGTAGGGTGCAGCTGGGAACAGAAGAAAGGAGGGAATTGTTGCTGCATCGTTATCGTTATCATCATCATATGTGAGGCATTTTGGTGAAATCAGGCGCTCGTCAAACTGGCGTTTTTCTGGCCGCTTGGCGTTTTTTTTTTTCTAATTCTCTTTTTTTTGGCTCCACGCCTTTTATGTCCATTAGAAAATCTACTTTTCTGTTGGTTTTACAGAAAAACATCGATTAAAGACACAAAAAACAAATATTTTAGCTTCCAAGGACTCTCAAGCTATGGAAATGACTACACTTTGGCGTCCATTTTCTCGTAAATTTTACCTCTGAAACCAGACGACCCTCACCTCTTTCAATTGCAAATATCTTGACTTCTGTTCAAAATAGATTGACCCTTTTTCACCTAGAGCAAGACAAATGAACAGGCTTTAAGATGATATGAATAACCCCATATGCCCAAGAATTGAAGAGAGCCTGATTCCACAACGTCGTGCCACATAGGATCATCAGCATGAACAAGTCACTCTCACTACTGCCACTACCACTACCACCGACAATAGCTTCAGAAACAAAACAATGACCACAACAACAACGGCAGCTAAAGCTACATAAGAAATATCAACTACTGTAATAGTGACAACAACAGCAACTAGAATAAAGGAAGTTGAATTGTCGAAAATGTATCGACGATCACTATGAATACTTGCCCTGAAATTACTTTAATTGTCATTTTCACAGTGCCCACAATAAATCTTTTCATAATAGTAATAACTTTTGAACCATGAGAAAAACTCACAATAAATCTTTCATTAGAATACGAGTAATATCTTCAATTTCGACCGAGGAAAATAATCACAATAGATCTTTGACAATAATACCTTGTGTCTAGAACAATTAAGGAAAAGTACTCGAAATAAATATGTTCTTAATGATAGCTTTCATTTTGACAAAGGAAAAGTACTCACGATTAATTTGTTATGATAATAATATAGTATCTTATATTATTTTGACCAAGGGAAAGTACTCACAATAAAACTTTCCATAACAACTTTTAAACAAGGAAAAGTACTCAGGGGCTCTCGTGGCCTAGAGGTTATGGTGTTGGCCTCTCATTCAAAGATCCCGTGTTCGAATCTGGGTAGCGACCGAAAAATTTTCTTCTCTAAAGTTGTCTCCTTTCGCCTCCTTTCCTTCTCTCCAGGAATGTTCTGTCATCTGTTTTCCTCTCATCTTTCTGTCCCCCACCCCCTCATCTTTTTTGCCCCCTCCTCTGAGCTCCCGACTCTTTCTGCAGTCTTTCTACTGCTTCTTCTTGGCTCCTTCTTTCTGATGTCTTTCAGCCACATCCCGATCTTCTGGTAGGAAAGATCTACACCTAGCCTTCTCGGACAAGGGCGAAAAATCTCCGAGGGCCCGTGTGCAAGTTGCACACTTTAAAGATCCCTTGGTTGT